ACAGATTTCACAAGAGCAAATATCTATGCAGTATTTGGGACTTTCATCACTAGTTGGGCAAAAGCACTGTCCAGTTAACAAAAAAAAAAAAAAAAAAAAAAAAAAGAAAAAAAAAGAAAAAAAAAAAAGAAAAAGCCTTTAATGAGGGTAGAAAATAAAAGCTGAAGGGTCCTGCACTCCCCTGGTTTGGACTGTACCTCTTCCCTGCATGCACAGCACCTCACACCCCTGTAGGATGGCAGAAAAACCCTACAACAGCCAAAAGCAATAACGTGAGATTTCAGAATAAAGTGCAAAGGCAGAACAAACCATATGGCCTGGGAACTATTACAGTGGGTGTGATCCTCCTCTAAATTACAACTGGTGTAAATCAGTTTACAATTGATGTAGGACTGATACAGACCTGATGTGCCATAGATTAAACCCCTATTGAAATCAATGGAGTCAGGCAGGTACAAAACTTGAGGCAAAGGAGTGGAGAACTAATCTGATTATCTCAGAGTTATGAAAACACCATTTATTTTCAGAATTGACATACTCTGTGGTTTCTGCTGCTCGACTCTCCAAACATTCCCTTATACTGAAAGTGCACTTGAAAACTTTAAAGATTTATTGCACAGCCCTCAGTTTGGGTAGGTAATTAATTGTGATGACTATTTATTTTGGAGCTGCTTTTGTGTATTTTTGGAGGAAGAAGGAAGTTTGCTGCCAGGCAAGAAGGAATCTTTGTTTTGCTTCTTATAATTTGTGGCTGTGTCAGTGGCTGATGCATGAAGTTATAGGAATAGCTGCAATTGCTTTTTTGCTTTGTGAAAATGAACCGAGCATTTCCTAGCCCTCAGTTTTTTGTTATTTTTTTTTTTGCCTCCCAAGACTTTGGCATCTGTTGCTGTCAGATAATTTGTGGCACGGCCCACTTGACCCTTGGTTCATAGGTCATCAGAATCTATATGAAGGGGGTTATTCTCTGCTATTGTTGAGCAAGGGATTTACATCCTAACTCGTATTAATGCTTGTAAATCTCTCATGCATCATTGACAAGAGGAGGCCTAAATTACAATCATATTTGCTTATGAATACTACCAGACCACTGACACAATCCAAACAGGCATGGAAATGGAATATTTGAGGAAGATGAGGTTTCAATTGAAGTCTAACAGGAGTCTGAACCTGCAAACCTTGTAGGAGTGCAACTAGTTAGATACTTAGAAATACATTATTGATTGTTTTAAAAGAAGCAAAATGTTTAGGAGAGGCATTGCAGCCTTGTGGCAACGGAGTCACCCAGCAGAGACACAGCTGCCTGAGCAGAGTGGGTGAACAGAGGGAGCTGCACCACGTCCTGGGCTGCTGCAATCAGGCAGAGAGCTCTGAGAGGAGCTCAGCAGCACAGGCAGTTAAGCTGTTGTTGAGATAGCTTAAGAAAAAGAGCAATGTGAAATCGAATACACTTATAAACACTACAAGCAAGCATTTTGCAGTCCACTCTCTAAGATATATTTTTTATTATAACCATCTCCATCTTGGTGTCAAGCATTTGAAGTAAACCAGGTATTTATTGTGAAAATCATAGGAAAAACTCCTTTTTTTTTCTAAACTAATGCTTTCAAGAATGTCACTGGCAATCAATATTCCTCTGATGAGAAATCCTTCAGTAAGATGTGCATTTCCTCAAACAAGAACAAGTCCTGTGATGAATCCTGTGTGCCCTGCCTTTATTCAGTTATCATTAAATCCAAACTTGTCTTGAATCCTTAAAGTCTGTATTGAGGAAGGAGTTCAAAATTTGGCTAACAAATTGATTGTGAATGATTTAATCACCTTAAATGAAGAAGAGTTCTGGGTAACCATAGAAATATTATCTCAACACATAACACCTCAGAATTCAATCTGAAGTCCAAATAGTTTTGCTAATTCTGATAATAGTATATACTTGTCTTCCAATTGTTAAAAGTGAAAATCAAAGACTATGCAGTCAGTTAATCTGCAATTAAAACCTGTATATGCTTGCATATTCAATGATAAAATTAAGATATCTAATGACTGAACAAATCAGAAGAGAACTCCCAATTTTATCTCTGATTTTACATTGTCAGGACTTTTTAATGCTTTTTTCCACCCTGTAGGAGCACACCTGCACACAGTCTACACTTCCCTAGATACAATATAAAGGATATTTTCCTCAGGTTGCTAAACTGAGGCACTGAGGGTCTGAAGGAGAATCCCCACTCACATAGTGGGTCCCTCTGGCCCACAGGAGCTGGGGTTGCTGCATCAGTCCATTCTCTGTCATTGAATTCATCGCCACAAACCTTACAAGTTCAAAAATGGAACAAATTTAAATAAGTTCTTCTTTCTAGAAGCAGTAATCTGTTATTTAAAAAAAAAAAAATCTTTCACAACAGTTTTCTCATGTGCCTAAAAATATTTTTCATTATTATTGAAGCAGCTGAAATATTATATCAAAAATTTACAATTTTCAGTTATTTATGAACAATTTCTTTCCTTTTTTAGATATTCATGAATATTTGCTGATAAATTTTTTGACAGCTTGGTGTCCTTTAACTTAGGACCTATTTGTTTCAGTTCAGATGTTCATTATCTGGAGGTTTCAAAGAAAAAAACTGATGCATCTTTCCATGTGAGGAGCAAAGACTTTTCCCACACTGTTTATCTCATCTAATTCTTAATGAATGATGAACATATGATAAATTTTATATTACTTACAGGGTGAGAGATGTATGTGCATATACATAATATATCCTATATCATGGATGCATTATTGAGCCAGTATAATCACAAGGAACAAAAAAAGGGATATTAAAGAAACACTTATAAATTAAGTGCTGGCAGAGATGTGTATGTGGGTTTAAGGCTGTCCATTTTACAGATATTATGTCTCATCATTTAAACTGCAGGTTAAATATCAGAACAAATCACTCTTTTGCAGGAAATAATAGAAAAACAAAGAAATGTAACTTAAGCACAATTCAATTAGATGCAAGGGAATTGAACACCTCAATTCTTAATGAAATTAATGATCTTTTATAATCACAAATGGCCAGACCTTAATTTTACTTGCTATTTAAAAGATGACACCTAGAGTAAAGTCATGTCCCATAAACCATTAAGTGTCTCTGGGATTCAGGAAAGACTGTCCCTTCCTGGATTAGTAAGAGAGTGTCTTGACACACCTTTAATACTTCCAATACCAAGACAGCTCAATTATGACTGCAAGATTTTGATTAAAAGGTAAGTGGAGCATCCCAAAGCCAAATGAGATCAAGCAGAGGGCACTCATTAGCTTCAGTGGAATATGGCATCTGCCTAAAAGTCTCATCAACAGCCATTGTCATGTGCAGCTACTTTGAATTTTTAAAGACTTGGTTATAAATAAGTCCAAAATAACAGAGGAGTGATTTTTAAATTATGTTAACCTTAGTTAAATATTAAAAAAGCTTTTCCTTATGTCTAAGCAAAACCTACCTCTCCCTGCAATCCCTTTACTTTCTGTTAACCTCTGTAGAATGTCTTAATTTGCTCCTTTCCCCAGATCTTTTATAAATTTTATGCCTATTATCTCACTCATTTAAGGGCTTATCAGAAAGAATTTGACATAATACATTTTAATAAACTGTTCCAATTGTCTTCAAAACAGAAATCTTTCCACCAACAGCTGAATTAGGATTGACTTCCAAAAAAATTACGCACAAAAAAGAAAGATAACCTTGCACTATCTGAGAAATATATGAGAAATAATAGTGTGAGAAAGTTAATAAGCTGGGAAAGTCACCCCAAATTTTAGTTACTGAAGGTGGGAGGACAGATATTCTTGTGCAATATAGGATTGCACAAAAGGAAGAGGTCAAGTATCCTGGGATTTTGGTTTCACCCAAATAAGTACAGACTGACTCGTGGCATTGACTTCCAAGCTTGTACAAATAGATGTAAAATGAAAAAATGAATGAAGCAATATTAGAAATGTCAGTGTATCAGAGCCTGAACAATACCAGTATTTCGGCAAAACTTCTACCCTGTTTTGCAAGCCCTGTAAGCTTTCTGAGCTGAGCAATAATGACTATTTCTTCATATCCCCTCATTATAACTTTCCTACAAATAGGTCTTGACAGTAGAATCATTATCCCAAACTTCTAGGATACAAAAGATTACATATATTGAGACGCTTTTGTTCTTTCCATGTGACCCTCACATTACCAGATGGCAAATTACTGCATTTTTCCTCCTAAAGGGCTGGGAAGATGTAGCCCATACTGACTTAATCTGAGCTTGATGAAGTGGTTTGTATTTGAGATAACAAGATTAGATTATCACAGTTTATTAGTTTAAAGTCTTTCTGACAGAGCCTTGTGTTACCTGATATTAAACCATGAATCATCTCTGCGTGCATGCCATGGGCCAAGTTCTCCCCTGGCACAAAATGACACAACTCCACTGATGTCCTCAGAGCTGCCCTTGCCAAGCCCAGCTGAGGATCTGGCCCTTATCACACAATTTGTTACTGAAAAGTCAGCCTTTAGAGAGTTCCCCAGCTTGATCTACCTCACCAGTCCTGGTTAGTCATGCCCTGGGGGTAGCCATGGTAATCTCCTTTCAATCTGTACTTCTGGAATGGAATTGTTTGGAAATAATTCTTTCAGCTGCGCACCTTGCTTTTGGGAACTTTGCCAAGAGGCTTCTTGCTCTGTTTTGAAATAAAGACTCACATCTCTACTGAGATTTTGGCTCTATTCCCTGTTGCAGAATTTTCAGTAAGTTATTAGGTGCATCATTACCCCATTTCATTTCCTGACTGTTCTGACTACCACCCTCCTACTTTTACACTGAAGCCACCAAATTTTTTCCTCAGCCCTCTCCCTGAGTACCTGATCCAAATCCCACTGAACTCCATCCAAAGTTTCCCAGCAAACTTTCTTAGACTCCTAGGAGAAAATAAAGAAAGCTATCTAAAGTTTTTGATGTTTAGATCTGTTATGCTACAGGTTGAGATGCTGGAGTGGAGCACAGAGAAGCAACAGGAAGATGAGATTTTCACTACTGCAATGTCTTCTACAGGTTTTCCTCTGCCTCTGTACCTGCAGGAAGAAAATCTCTTGGCAAGCACCTGGTTGTGGACTTTGTTTCCATTTGGACCATACTGCTTCCTGCTGAAAATGAACAACTCACTTCACTGGAAACTTTCTACAATTTGCTCAGGTTCATAATTTTCAAGGACAGAGAAGATTCTGAAGATGTGAAATAACTATTTTTGGGTCTCTAAGTTTACTGTCAGTCTCTGAATTTCTTTTGTAATATACCAGTGGGGTATCATTCTGATTCATATTTCTGCATTCTCTGTGTTCAGTCTCATAGAATGCCTTGTTAGGATCAAGAGCAGGAGAAAATGATGAACATGCAGACAGGTTTCCCTGAATAAAGCATTGTTCATCCTTTGGATTCAAGCAGTTAGCTAAAAAATTAGATTTTTCTAGAGAGAAGGAAAAACTGGATGAAACGGGAGCATCTTCCATCCAAATTTACATACTTCTGAAGGCTGATAAATCTAATCTTCCTGAATATACAAAAAAATCAAATAGTAGGAGATCTCTCCTTTGCCTATGCCTCCAGTCACATCTTGCACTCTGGTAACTAATCTCTCTCTCTTTCTGGACTTCTGCCCCACGTCTGTATGTCCTCTGCTTCCTTCTCCTCACTTCAGCAAATATTCCTCAATGGCCAGGCACTTGCCTGTGCTGTTTGGGTGATGACATGTTTCTTGGCTTTGATTTGGAGGCTGCTATAGTTTCATAAATGACTGTAAGTGCTTCTTTTCAGCTCTCTGGAATGAAGGGCAGCTGTTACACCTTGGGCCTCAATAACATTTTGTCCAGCCAAGACCGACTTCTTCACCACCTCATGGAGCCAGCACTGCTCCTGAACACTGTTGGCTTGTCCTCTGGGCTCTAACATCCTTCTGGGTCTGCTGTTTTCCTCTTCTCCCATTGCTCTGATACTTCCTTCATCTCAAACAGACACAAAAATACTCATGCACATTGTCACTGAAATGCCCTTCAATGCTTGCTCTTCCTTCAGGTTTTAAAACCTGGCTGTATTTAGAATTGAGATTGCTGTTGTTTCAGCTCTTTGGTTCCATGCTACTGCTTGTATTAATCATTTTAAGTAGTGGACAATTTAAACTCCCAGATTTTTTAGTGGAAAATTTGAACTCCCAGTTTTTTTTTTAGTGGACAATTTGAACTCCCTACCTGATTTTTTTTTTTTTTTTTCAGTTTCTTTGCTCATACAGACTAACAGCTTGGATGCTGGCTTGGTTCTGAGAAACAGAACCTGCCCCATGTGACGCCCAGTGTTTTTTCAGAAGTTATTCTCTGCATTCTTAATGGTCTTTTATAGAGAACCTCTCAAAACAAAAGTAGGTAAAATTGCACCCATCAGAAATTGTGCATGTTTGGTCCTGGAGCAGAAGATCAATAGCAAAAGTTTGTTGAGCTTTTTACTTCTGACTTGACAGGAAACTATCAGAGGACATATCAGAGAAGGCAGAGATGAATGAGGGAAGGATTCCTAGAACAGTGGAGGAATTCCTGCTTTACAAACTCTTTTTAGGGGAACAGCACTAGTTCTTCAAAGAAAGGAATGGCTCTGCTGCCAAGTGTTTCAGAATATTAATGATCCAGTTTTTGCCAAGTGTTTGGAAACACAACCATGGAATGGTTTGGGTTGGAGGGACCTTTAAAGGTCATCTAGTCCAAGCCCCTTGCTGTAAGCAGAGACGTGTAATTCCAAGAGGTTGTTCAGACTCCTGTCCAAACTCGCCTTTAACGTTTCCAGGGATGAGGCTTCTGCCACTACCAGAGATGCAGCTCGGGTAAATCACTTGGGAATCCTCTCCCTGACCTCAGCTCCCATCTAAACCAGATCTCAACAGAGCTTTAAAGATTTCTTCAGAAAAGTAACAGGAACAGTTTCAGCTCAGTGCTGGGAAATGAGACACTCGGCACTAACAGATGTAATATTCATCTCGTCGCATACTAGGTTGCCCTACTGATCTTTGAGCTGCTCACACAAAAAGCATCCTATTGAGTTTCTGCTGAAATCTCTTGAATGCTCAGCAGCACAACCACGCAGAGGAATATACAGAACAGGAAATTATTTTTCCCCCAAAATTTTGATGCACTGTTTACAGATAAAATGGCAAAGTGCAGTAAATATATGCTTATGAGCACATTTGATTGTACACTTATAAAAATATTCAGCTTAGAAACATTTTATTTGAAATTTCTGAATATTAAAACATAAATGAAATTTTGTTATCTTTGTGTACTCAACTTTATTTGAAATGCTATTAAAGCTTCAGACTATTCAAACAATAATACTCTGGATGCCTAGAAAGCCTACAAGGCTTCATGAGGGCTTTTTTCAGGCTCTTCACAGACATTAATTAAAGCTGTGAGAAACTCTGTGCTCTTGGTACTATTTACAGCTATTTAGCACTACCTCATGTGCATCATCTAAGGTCAAACAGCAAATCAGTAACAAAACCAGTGTCAGAATTGGAGTATCAGAACTGTTGAGACCTGTCTGAGCTATTGGGCATTGTCTTCCACTAGACCATACTATCAGTTATGAAAATAACTTTTGATTGCTCATGCAAGTACAGTTACTATTAATACTTATTAAAAAAAGACTGTGTAACCAGTCTGAAGGAAAACCCCCTAAACTTGTAAATGTGCTATTGACAGGCAATTTCATTAAATCTGGTTTCACTTTATTTGGGTTATATATTCCATTTCATAAAAACCTTATCGTAAAGATCTAAATCTGTGAAGAAAGACATTAAGCAATTCTTTATTATCTCTGCTGGTCTCTTAAAACAAATCACATCTATCCCTTCCTCTATTATTCCAGGGAGTGCAAGGGCTGATGTATTTTGGGATAATTGCTTTGGCATCCCAGGTTTATTCTGTCACTGCTGCTGTGCAAGTGCAATATTAAAGGAGTAATCATCTTTTTTTCTGTATGGCCCATCACCATGGTATATAAGCAATATACAGTCTGCAGATTTTGTAATAGGTAAACCTTTCAAAAATTTTATTGGCAATTTTTTTGATAAAGACACATGTCAGACTGCACCCTGTTTATTCATACTCTGTAAGGTGTTCTCTAGCTTCGTAATTTATTAACAATGGTCATTTGTTACACTGACAACTTAGAAAAACAGATTACTTAGAAGTTATGATGGGGTAATTTTGCTTCTTGGAGCCTCTGCAATGAATCACTATTTTCCCTCCCTCCCTTGACCTAATTTCAAAATCATATACCTGTGTAAAATATTGTGATGAGAATTGTGTCTAATTATCTTCTAAATTTTTCTTTTAATTGCTAGAAGGATACTCATTCTTGAATAAGGGAGGTATTAATGATGTAATAGTGTTAGAGAGTCCTTGAAATCTAGATTAATTATTAGTTGTGTGGACTTCTGAGAGTTTTTGATGTATTCATTTGCATTCACAAAGATGGCTTTTTAATTAAAGAGAGTTTTTGAACTTATACAAATGAGCCTTTTGCAAATGTCCCTAGAAACGTGGAAAGTGTTAAAAGTGAGAAGAATCAAAATTTTCCTGAAACATTACCTCCTGCTGCAAACACTGAATGACCAAAAGCATTTGAAACTCCAGACCTCATGTCAGCAGCTCCAGAGGATCTCCAAGACCAAGAAGAATTATAAAAGCCTGTGCTTGTTTCAAATACCACAGAAATGGTTCTGTACAAAAGAGCAATGTCAGAATATCTGATTTCCATTTCAGCTTCCACCACAGCATATGTTTCTACCTTTACCTGCATGCTTATTTTTTCCTCTTTAGAAATTAGATCCTCTTTCCAAAAGACTCCAGTGTTAAATGTTTCCTCATTGTAACTCTTATGATCCCTTGTTGCCACCTCAAACTTCTGGTTTTTCTTTCTTTCTTTTTCTTTGTTCAAGATCAAGAGAACAAACCGAAAGCTCTCAGTCTCCAGGTCTGTTTCACAGATTTATAAATGGTACCATATTTCCTGTATTACAGCCATTAAGCTCTTAATGCAGCCTAACATCTAATTTACAATTTTGACTGCTGCTACATATTGAATTTGAGCAGATGTCTTTACTGAGCTGTCCATAGTGATGCCTAAATCATTTTCTTCAGAAGTTCACAGCAAATTCAGATCGCAGAGAGTGAATACTTAGTTTAATTTGTACCTTCTGAAGCAAATTATTTTGTAAAGAAGTGGGATCTCATCTGACAGAATACTGTCTGATCTCCTCATTTTTGTGAGATCTACCCAGACCCACTCATACACCTCTGCCAGGGCTGGCTGCCTAAATTCAGTTTTCAGTATGAGCATAACACCAGCCCCGTCCCACAACTGTGGATCTATTCCAGAACTGGGACCTTTAAACCTCCTCCATGGTCCTGTCTCTTCCACAGCTCCCTCTCACACACAAAACTGTAATCCAGAATTACAGGTGTATTTAGTTTGGTATTGTGATAACTTTTTAAAGTCTATATCACAAATACCCACTGATCTTCCCATGCCTTGTCTTGTTGAAGTCTTTGTAAGAGGGAATAAAACAGATTTATTTGCATCTATTTCCTCTTATGCTCTTCTTGAAGATAAAGTAGTTCAGAGTGCCACTATAATCTTCATAACTTATGGCCATTATACTATATCTAGTATATAGTGCATATATATATATATACACTATAGTATATACTATATATATGTGGTATATAATAATATATAGTATAATGGCCAGCACTAGCTACCTGGCCAAATATACTATATGCACTTATAGAGCATCTATTTCATGTTTCATTTCCAGGAGAATAAATGCTTGACCTAAATTTCCCTAAAACAAAATAAATAACTGACTGAATCAGGGCTATTTTTAAATTTTTACTGTTGTTCATGACCTCTGTTTTCAGATCTTTTGTCTCTGATGATGTCTAAACTTAATGACATGTGCCAGGTACAGGGTAATGTAGGTATTAATTTTTCAATATTTTTGGAAAAGAACATTAAATGCCATTCTGTTTCCCATTCCACTTCTATGTTTATTCATATTTTAATTTTTGAAAGTGCTTCTTTTCTGTTCTGAGTCATTCAAAAAATTAATTTCAGCCTCTGGTTACTTGTTTTTCCAATTTCTTGTAGTTCTCAGACATGGAACCATATATTCTCACCTTCCAGAAACTTTTCCTTCTTTGCTTCACTTGAGGAAAAGTTTAATTTTCAAATCATATTTTCTGTTGCTTGAATAGACATTTGCAACTTGGGTTTTGACTGTTTCTTCCCAGGTAGCTTTCCTGCTCTGTAATTGCATTTGGTAGTGAAATGTGAACACTATCCATGGTTCTGTCATTATTTCCTTAAACATATTCTGTGTTGATTTCCTTCCCTGAATTTTCCCTTTAGCATATTTCCACGGAGATAAACAATGTTTTTTTACCCTTCCCTTTCACATGCATACATATCTAGGTGTAAATTCCTTAAAGGCCAAATTGTGCTTCTTCATGCCATGAGCACAGTGTTATTTAATGTCTCACACCGTGTGCCGGCTCATGTCCTGCAGCAGAGGGGCTGTTCTGATCAGCAGCACCTCCTGTCACCCAGATATTCCTTTCCCTGACCATCTTCTGAGGCAATGCTCAACCAGCTAAGCCAGGACAGACAAAGGCATTTGTTATTCACCAAATTTTTTGTTGTCCTCCTTCTGGTGTTTTCCAGTGACCTGCAGCATTGGAATTGTTTCTACTGCAGTTCCTGCTGCTCTCGGTCTTGCCGTGAAGTGGGAATTTTACCTGTGAGGTTTCTGCATCAAGGTCTGCATGAAGACCTTGAGACCCCCTGAAGTTCTCCTTGAAAAACAAGAGGAAGAAAAACACACACCTGAATGAATATTTAATAGCTGGAGAGTCAGGTCCCAGGAGATGAGACCTGGAGGCTCAAGTTGTGATTGTGTCTGTTTTTGAGGGGCACCTTAAACCTGAACTTCTGACAGCTGGGTGAAAGATGCAGTCAACAGACTTGTGGAGTCTGTCTTAAAGCCGCTTCCCTTTTTTGGAATAAAAGTAAACATTATTATTACAAAATGTGAGTGAGTTAATGATCATTGGTGCCATCACTAATTTGTCTTTCTTGTTTTCTTTGAAAGCTTTATTCAAATTGATATTTTTCTGGGAAAGATTTTGCTTTCTCCAAGACAAACTCAGTTGGAAATACTAGAGAGTCTAAAAATTTCCCCACATATGTAATTCCATTGAGTCACCTTCTTTTAACCTTCACAGGTGAATATCTGCACTTAGCTTCAGAAAACATTTTGCTTTCCTGCTGAGTTGCAGACATTTACCCATCCCTGATTTGAAATATAGATTTTGCTCATATACTTAGACCCACAGTTGGTGCTGAACCAAATTCCTTGATCTAGCACTTTTATTGTGTACAGAATTCATCTGGTTTTAACATTTCCTCAAATCTTTCGTTTAAATAAATCTTCCCAAAAAAATTCATGGTGTTCCTTGAAGGGACAATGTTTTCATGTTGCTTAAAATGTAAACCATCCGTGCAATGTAAATGCAAACCTCCAGGCAATTCATTTTCTAATTTGTTTTCTCCCGCATTGGAAACACAAGAACACGTACTTCATTTACATCTATTATTACTATATTATAGATATTGTTATTATTATTAACAGTATTATTATTATTTACTCTGGGGGTGCTAGGTACCCTCAGGCAGATACATTGTAAATTGAAACCAGATGTCCAACGAATTGACGGCAAGATTTCCAAGCAGGACTGAAATCTTTTCCTAAAATTCACAATGCTGCAGACAAACCAACGTGAGTCTGTGTGACAAACAGGGAACAGACCACGGCAAGCCTGAAATTATGTCACATATAGCCTTGTGTTTACACAAAACTCCCACTTTTCACAGTTTTAAGTTTGCTCTTCAAACACAAAGTGAAAAAATAACAAAACAATTAGAGAAAGTAAGAGGCAACAGTAAGATTAGAAAATAGGGAAGGTACATTCGGAAGCCATTAACAACCCAATGCTACTAACTAAAGCTAGCTTTAAGATAGTCCCTCCTGGGAGGATACTTCAAAGATCCTCGAATAAAAAAGGCAATTTATTGGCTAAGTGATCTTCTTAGAGGCCCCAAATTTCCTACCCAGCCCATTTGTTTTCCATCCCTCTTAAATTTTAAAGTCACCTTTGCAATTGCTCAAGATCTTTAAGGAATATTTTTTTTTTTTTAGAAATTACGCTAATTGGCCTATTTTTACTCCCCTCTCTTTGCCCTTAAAGACTAGGAAGCTTGGTGCCTAAAAATAAGTCGGAGTGAGGCGAAGTGTGTGCTCTCCAGATGGCGATCAGCGAGGGAGCTCCTCCAGCCGCGCTCTGTGCGCGCTACCTGCACTCCCAGCTCCGCCAGTTTAACCATTGCAGCGGGGCTGAGAGCAGCCAGTGGAATGTAGGGCACCAAGCTGCCCTGCTGGGGCTGTTTCCCACCCAACTGGGGCTCCCACACTCAGAAATGTCGCAGCAGGCTGAGGAGGAACAGAGCCCATCTCCCTGCAAAGCTCCCATTGTGAGCCAGGGGCTGATGGCAGCGTTTAACGCCTGAAACTGGCCAAAAGTAATTGGAAGTGCAGAACATGGAAAGACAGACCTGCAGCAGCAATGTGTGATCCCAACGAGCTATCCTCAAATGATATTTTAATCGTCTGCAGCACTCTCAAAAATACTGCGACCACTACTTTGCCCTTGAAAGAACATGGCACATTATATCAAGGGACTGTCCTTGTGGCCCCGTGTTCGGACATTGAGAGGTACCCAAAGCAGGTTAGCTGCAGTGAATCCTGCAGTGCTCTGCTCCCCTGCAAGAATCACAGCCCGTGCTGATGGGGCTGTGTTGATTTTCTGCCTTGAACACTTAAGAGACAAAAAAAGCATCATCTCTAAGACCTCCAGCTGGCAAGGAGGTGAGAAGCTATACCTAGTAAAAAAATGCAGCATGTGCTTAATATTAAATCTGTGAATCTCACTAAATTTACATGTGTTAAATGGTGACATTTTTATAGGACCATACAGCACCCTTAGAAGCTGAAAGCTCTCAGCATAAACACCCATTAAAAAAATAGGACTCATTTGTCCATATTTGTTAGAACAGAAAATGAAGAAAAATATTAATTGAACTGTTTGAAATTGTTGTTTAACACTACAAGCTGCCAGGACATACAAAAGGCTAGACTTGAATCACGTGCACTGTTCCAAGCTGAAAATACATACAAATATCTGAGAGATGTAAATGTAAATCAGGATAATATTTTACTTTTGGAATTTTGGGTAGAGGCTGATTTTGGCTGGGAATAAGGAGTTCACCACCTGCTTTTTACCTATATAACACTGCTTTTTTCCTCATCAGATCCTTCTAATGAGCAGGAAGGAACTAAACTAAACTAACTAGCCAAATCAGTGTTTTGAATAGGTACCTGCCAAAAAAGGGATTTACACATGAGAGGCTAAGAAAGTTGTAGAGCTATGGCAGACAGAAGAGGCCACAAAGTGTTGAATCTTTTGTGGATTAAGCCAAATTTATTTCCCAGACATCAAAAGATACCTCTTGACTTTTCTGTGCAATGTCTGTAATCTCTTTTATTTGTACATTCATGAAAAGCTAGAACCCGCTGTGGCTGCTGATTCCTGCAACTCAGGGGCCACAGGGTCTGGCACAGCCCCACACAGGTTGGGAATGCCCCAGAGCCAGAAAATTCAGTCCCACTTGACATCTTTAATCAAACTTCCACAACCTACCTCCTTTTGCAGGTGACTGAGGAGGAAGGGAGCAAAGCAGGATCAGAGCCAATGTGGTGTCTCCTAATATCTGTCTATAAAGGAGAATTTAAATGACATTTCAAATGAAGAAGAAAAAGATCCCCCTTGTCTAGTTTGTGCTGAATACTTTTCCCCATGGTATTCCTCATGTTTAATTTTTAGTCATTTGCACTCTGATAGAGATCAAAGATTTCTGTCAAAATACAGTTTGCACTGAAGTAGGTATTTTGCAAACATACAGGGAGATATTTTTCTCCCCTGGTGTATCAAAATTTAAAACTAGTCTGAAATGACTTGCGAAAGGAGTGATTCCAACAGACTTCTATCTCTTGATTGCTTGCATTTTTAAAAGAATTATAGTGAAATAGTCTATTTTAATTTTCTGTGTCTATAAAATGCACCGTATAACCCTTGACTTGCAGAGACATTTAGCAGCAACAAACAAACATAGGAATGATAATTCAAAAACTGTTACAGAAATAATCAGTGAGCAGGCTCAAGAGATCTGAGCTGACATTGCATGAAAAGATGCTATTTTCCTGCTAGAAGGCATTTTATGTCAGATAAATGTTCAGTGGCCTTTTATAATTTTATCTGAATGAAGTGAGAAAATAAGTTCAAGATTTTTTTAGGAAACCAGGCAAAAACTCCAAAACAAGTACGTGTCAAAATGAAGGGATTGCTTAAAGCACTCAGAGCTGGAGTCCCCGTGTATATCTCTCTATCATTTTATCTGCATGAAGGGAAGATCTCTTGCAGGTTATCAAGGAGGAATTGTAACCTCAGGAGAAGGGAAGCGCTCCTCCCCCAACCAAAGAGAAATATCATTTGATATATTAACACTTCAAATCTCCCTGTTTTCGAAACAGTTTCAGGTGCTTCCTGTGAGTGTTTTCAATAAGGAAAAGATAAATCCAATAGGTAAATTTTAAGACCAAATCAACCTTGGCTTTCCAAGCTGAAAGGAGGATTTCTGTCAGGGCAGCCATCTATAACACCAATAAAATATTTCAGAGATGCTGTTTGCCCACTTGCCAAAACCAAATAAGCACATGACCAAAGGGACTCACTAAAAGATTTTTTTTGTCCATAATCTTCTGTTTGCATCTTAAGCTCACTCTTAAGTCCATTTCCCCTCATCTTCTGAGAGATGCTACCTCAAACCTCCACCCTTGGAGAGTCAGAGCAAGACTCTGTCTCCCCTTCACGTGCCTGGAGTTATCCCCACTGCATGGACAGCATCAGCATGGTGCCACGGCTGCCAGCAGCAGCAGCTGGATGTTGTCCTGGCACACGAGCAGCACGAGTCCCCAGAAGCCCTTACCTCCAGCAACCACCACATCCACCCCTCCTTGTTGTGGCCATTCCTCCTCAAAAACTCACACTTATCCCTCTCAAGCACGTTTGCCGCTCCAAATCTGTTTTCCCACAGGACTTTTTGCTTTATCATAACAATCTGTTAGCATTGGCTGGAATGACACATATTGTCCAGGCTCTTTATGCAGGTTGGGGTAAAAAACCGTCCACCTTACCATGGTGGTAAATCCTCATTTCCCTGTCTGCAAAAATTCCCCATGAGAATGCTGCTTTTATTGTTGCTGTATATTTTTATCTTGCTCTTTTATACTCAACAAATTGCTGCCCCCTGCCCATGCCACCTGTTCTCACCTCTGGCCAGCACTTCCTTTAGTTTTTAATTACCATTTCACTTACCTGTTCTGACTCTATGCAGAATCACTGACTAGAAAACACGCTGCACGTTGCTCTCTTGTCATTGAGATGCTGGCTAGACTGGTTGTTGTCTTGGCCATGGGGACAGGATTCCACTCAGAGACCCTAAGCAATTATCTTTCTTCTTCCCCTTTGAGGTTGGAGCATAGTATTGGTAATTAAATTCATACTTCTGTTTGTTGTGGTTTTTTTCTTATATGTTCCCATTTCCCAGAAACCTTAGGCAAAGGATTTTCTGCCGGGATGAAGAAGGATCTGAGGCTGGTTTGGCTTAACTCTGGAATACAATCTGGATTTAAGAGTTACATGATGAATCATGATGCATTTTTATTTTTATAAAAAAAAAAAAAAAAAAAAAAGGGTGTAGATATTTTGCAGAGCAGTTGAGAATTTATTAGGTCACATCCACAGTTTGCTACACCAGGACCTGCCTGGAATGCATTTTTTTCAGGGCAAGATATTCAAAGGCTAAAAATGAACTCCTGGCTAAGCCCATCAAGAAGTGGACAGAGGGAAGGGAAATCCCCTGGGATGGGTCCCCCTTGGCTGGAAACACTAGCTCTGTTTTCCACTCTTCCAGCCAGGTGCCCTTCTCTCTTCTGTGTTTCTGGGCCTTGTTTGCTGCCACACACTACAAACCCCAAGCAAACAAATCTCTCTCAGTATTTCAGGTCATTGCCAGGCTCTTGTGCTGGGAGCTGCCAACTCCTATCTGAGTTCTCAGCTGCACAGGCCCTCTTCTCCTGCCAGACCACTTTTTCTATGCTGACATACCATCTTCCTCCTCCCCTTCCCAATTTGTTTGTCTCCAAAGCCGTTCATTATTTCCCCATTTCATTTCACTGCAGAGCCCCGATCCAAGGCCCATTGAAATGTTTCCATCAGCTTCAATGGGATTTGAATCAGGCCCAACATCTTTGTCTCTTTCAGGCATCCTTAGCTGCCTTTGGGTCAGTTTTTCTTCTCTTTTGGCAAGGCCTGTTTTCCCTTCCCCTTTTCATTCAGCAATATGGAATATGCTGTGGAATCTCCTCTCTCCTGCCTGGCCCACCCATGCTGGCAAAGACACCTGAGGCCAGTGAGGCAGAGGAGCTGGAAGAAGGTGTAGAAATTGCAGTGTACAAACCTTGGCTGGAGGTAGAACCACCTTTCAAAAGGTTTGATATTTTCAATTTACTTTTAAGATGGCTCTTATATTTGGCATTATTTTGTTTTGCCACAGTTTTGTGTAAATGAAACAATTATCAGCTGCAGAGAAGATGCAAACCAGAAAAATGGTGTGTTAGGTTGCTGCTGAAGGATGAAAGTTTCCCAGGTATGCTGTGGAAAAGGACAGCCTTGGATGGTGTACACTTCTGCTGCAACCAAAAAGACTTTGGAGGTTTACAGCAGGTAACGCTGTCCCCAAAAATACAAATCCAAATAAATAAGTTAATAAATAAATAAATAAATAAATAAATATGATTCAGACCTTTGAA